ATATTAGGTTAAAAAGAATTATTTTCCCAACTATTCAGATTGTGACATGTAATAGACCTTTTCCTTTCCCCAAATCCAGTAGATGAAATAGATTAGAATGGATATTTTTCCTCTCCCTATCAAGTAGATATATGTATTAGATTTCCTTTACCCATCACCCTTAGTATTAGTGTCAGTGTATTAGTATCCCATACTTGTAGTGTGTAGAAAATGAAAAAAAGGAAAAAAAATTCCCCTTCGGGGGGGCCAAGAAAAAAAAAAAGAGAAAGTACCATGGTGCCTGCTTTGATTATTGGGCCTCAGATCTCAACCTAACCCATCTTGTAAGAATGACAATATCTCAGAAAAAGAAGAAGAAAAGATTGGATTTATACCCTGCACTTCACTACCCAAAGGAGTCTCAGTTCTCCTTTCCCTTCTCTTCCCCACAACAGATACCCTGTGAGGTAGGTAGGGTTGAGAGAGCTCTAAGAGAACTGTCCTTGAGAGAACAGCTCTGACAGAACTATGGCTTGCCCAAGGTCATCCATCACACACAAAATCTGCTTATTAACACCTTAGTTTCCTCATGTTTCTGAGGAAGATGTAAAGAGTCCCAGCAGCCAGGGAATTGATTTATTCTGCACCAGCACATTTAAAATGGATGAAGAACCTGGCCAGCTGAGCTTTGCTTAGGTGAAGAGGTCCCAACAGAGGACTAATTTTACTTGAAAATCCACAGTTGCCATGGATCCAGACTTTGCCAGTTCAATCAGTGTGCTTGTAGGTTGGTGACTCTGCTGTTCTGCTCCAGTGTGAGTGAAGTCAGCTGATTCTCAGGTCAAGTTCTCCTTCTGCAGGTCTCTGTACCTGGTCATCCCACCCCATCTCACCCAAGTCTGTTTATGCAGGCCTTGCCCTTCGCCATCACAGTGTCAGTTCTTTAAGCATACATGCAACCTCTGGCTTCTGGGACTAAAGGCCAGGAAAGCTAAGCTAATCTGATCATTTATGGCCCCGGTCACACGGGAGGTTTTGGCCCGCAGGAGGGACGGATCGGGGGCGCAGCAAACGGGCGCGATCACACCGCAACATCTAGGAAGCGGCGCGCACCAGTCCCCAATCCGTCCCTTCAGGCCGAAAACGCGCATTAAAAAAATCCCTAGGAAATAGTAGCACCAACCTGAAACGCCGCAGCAAGCGCAGCCATGGGATCACCGGCGCGCCCGTCTTCAGGAGCATTCGAGGCTCCCGGAAGAACTGCGCATGCGCACACATGCGCAGCCGGCTTCCTCGCTCTCCCTTCTGTGGCTCCCCCCCCCGGCATCTGATCGTGCCGGGGAGCAACTGCGCGGCAGCTCAGGGGATCAGTCTGATCCTGCTGCCACGTGTCTGTTTTGGTGCGGCTCTAAAAAGCCGCACTTTGGCCGCGTCAATTTCCCCTGTGTGACCGGGGCCTTAGTTGCAAGTAGTAGAGGTTCATCCTCCTGGGACCACAGCTCTTGCATAGGGGAATTCAGACTCTGAGCTTCCCATTCTTGCAAGCTGGCATTCATGCCAATCTTGAAGATCTCCTTGATCTGAACAGGATTGCTCCTGGACAGAGGAAGATCTAGAGCTGAACACTCCATGACGTGTTGAAGCTGGTGACAAAGTAACTCACTGATTCCTCGAGAGCAAATGCCACTTTGAAAGGAGAACACAGTCCACTGAAGGGTTTTCAAATGCACTTGTACCCAGGAAACATTCTACGTAGGTGATCGGGAATGACCGGATTTGAGCCAGGTCATACGTTCTTGAGATCATCACCTGCTTGGCTGATCTAACCAGCTTCCCTCTACTATCCTGCAGCATGAAAATGCCTTCCTTTGCTTGAACTAACAAGCCCTAGATGTTAGATGCACCCAAGTGGTGACAGTTTCCACATGGATGATGAAGCTGTGACACATTAAGAACTGAGTTGAGTGGGCTCAATCTCTGACCGTTCTATCCCTAGAGAGGGACCTGATGAGTAGGTTGTCTTCATGGGGATGAATATGCACGTCCCTTGTTCTCATGGTTATAGTTACCGTAAGAAGCAGAAGAGATTGGATTTATACCCCGCCCTTCACTCAGTGTCTCAGAGCGGCTTACAAACTCCTTCCCCTCCCTCTCCCCACAACAGACACCCTGTGAGGTAGGTGGGGCTGAAAGTTCTGTCAGAAGCTGCTCTCTGAAGAACATCTCTGACAGAACTATGACTTGCCCAAGGTCATCCAGCAGCTGCAAGTGTAGGAGTGGGGAATCAAACCCGGTTCTCCCAGATTAGAGTCCATGCACTTAACCACTACACCAAAATTAGGTAAATACCCAGGGGGCTGAAAAGTAATAGGTAAGACGGAAAGTAAGCTTAGAGAAAAATTCTACCCTTAGAGCACTGCAAGGCATGGGTTTCCACGCACACTGCTTTCCTGACACAAAGCAAACTGGAGGGAACTTCCTGCCTCCTGCTAATGATGGGAGGTTCAGCTCATCAGTCAAGAATGCCATCATACTCTGAGAGCAAGTGTGCACACATGCTTAGGAAACCCTAAATCAAACAGAGCCTCAGGAACTCTGGCTGAAAGTGTAGGATAACAATGTTTTAAATAGACAAAGAATGCTGATGGCACTCAGGACAAACCTTGCCAAGGAAAGAAAGGAATAAACAGGGTAACATATTAGAACATGTACCATTACCCATTAGCAGAACAGAATCTACCAAAACATGAACAGAAAATAGCCTTATGTCTAATAACCTGGGAATAAACTAAATTTACCCAATTACTTACGGGTATATGAACAGCAATAATGATGCTCACAATGCATCTCACACACACACCCAAGTTGTGCCAACCCTCCCAGAACTACTGGGCCCACAAGGCTCATGGAATCAAACAGACAGGACTCTCCGTGACATCACATCCTGCCTACCTCTCCAACTGCTTTATCTTTTGGTCTGCCACAACATCTCTGAAAAGAAGGGCTGTACCACCATGCTCCAAGATGTAATGTCACACTGCAATCAGAATCCTTGAGAATTTGTAGTGCTCCTGCATGTGAGCACTGTATTTTATTATCCCATCATAGTGGAATTGTGAAAATATCATCTGTTACATTATAGTATTGAATTTCAAACTTGAGCTTTAACCAATTGTCCATTGTAATAAGCAACTGGCTAGTTTGAGCACAGTAGAGTTCTAATGATGCTCCAACCTAACTCCAACACACCCAAATTCTAGCTATTAATACAGGCACGACATTATAAAGGCAAACCACATTCTGGGATGTTTCTGAAAGATTGTCAGTCCGCAGCTTGGAATTATATATGCAACCTCCACACTTGCACTCTCATTCTTCTGTGCTTTCTCTTATGGTCTCTGGCTTTTGGCAAACTATGGTTTGCAGTTCTCTTCCACAGCAGAATCTTTAACCCTGATCATCCCATGTGCAATTCTGGTTTGGAGAGGAACTGCAAACCAGTTTGCCCAAAGAGCAACACCAGGATATATGGGAAGGGTGCATGGAAGAATGAGGCTCATACATGTAACATCAAGCGTGGTTTGGCTTTACATTTGAACTAAGCCCTGCTGAATTACATGGCTCTCCGCTTTGTGATCTTGCACCAAAATATTCCAGCCATTCAACTGGGCCAACTGGGGCTAACACTTTTTTGTTGTTGTTCAGTCGCACAGTCGAGTCCGACTCTTTGTGACCCCATGGCTACTGAAGAAGAAAACCTCTCCCTTGTATTTAGGGCCGTATTTCTTGTACCCAAAGGTACAGTGACCACAAGGCTACACTACATCTGAAAAGGCTTTATTTTACATTTTAAAAGCAAAAGGTGTTTAAATCAGCCACTGTGTGGCAAAGAATATGCTTGATAAATAATTCTGCATGCTTCAGAAAGTGTCCTGCCACTAAGACTGAAAAACATACCAATGACCCTACAGATAGGAAAGAACCAGCAACCTTGGCATTTGGATATCACCTGCAAGTACACTGGCAGAATGCAGGCTCATAGGGTTTGACTTTTAACTTATGTCAAGTGGCTGTTCGGTGTTTGGTTTGTTGTTCTTTGTCACTACACAACAGCTGTGAAAACTGCAATGCTCTGAAGGTTACTTATGTGTCCTGTGTAGGTAACTTTACTGCAGCTGCAGTTTTTCTGTTTTTAATAGGTACTCTAAAAAAACCCCTACTTCTCAAATTTTAATAACTAAAAAGGGTCAGTGATCTGCCTCTTGAACGACTGCTAAAACAAATCTTATTAAAACCTGAAAATGTATCTACTGTCATTGGCGGCTGGAGCAGACACTTAATGCTGAGTTCCGTGAGTCTATTTTGTTGTATCTACTGTCATTTGGTCAAGACAACTGTTTTCAGATGCAGCTTCTAATTTCAGGATTCCATAATAATGCTGATACAAAGAATGCATTTTATCACTTGCTCAAATGTTTTAAACCACCACCCCATAATGACAGTTGCAATTACATGAAGCTATTGTCTGGGCTTGAACTGTTTATGTTCAGTTCAGTGCAAGATGGAAAGGAAAGAATGGTTTCACAAAATACTGAATGGAACAGTATTCTTCAGGACAGTCACTAGGACAACCAAACTACCACTTCACACAAATGGCAGTAAGTAATACTATTCCAATCTCACTTCCTCAAATAAAAATCCCAGGCATCTCTCACAAACAATAAGAAACAGCACAACTTTGTTGTTTTTAACAGGTCCATACAGTTGCATCTCAAAATTTTAAAGCACAAATATAAAGTTGTGATCCAAGGCAAGTCTGATTCTTCCAACTGTGGTTACTGCCATGGGCACCATATCTCCCCCCATTAAAACAAATTATGATTTGGAATTTTTACATGAAAATATACAACACATTTTGCCCCTACATTAAAAACAAAAGCATCCCTTAATTATTTTTTTAAAATCAGGTTTATAAAGCACATACTATTACACATGCTACTGTTTCCATAACATTTACTTACATAACAATCCTCCTGTTCAGGAACCAGTATTTCCGTCTGTTTCTGTCATATCCAATAGGTTCATGCCGAATGTATGGTTTATTTTTTTGGATTTCAGCAATACAGTCCGTTACGCCAGGCACCTTATGTGCTACACAAACTTCACACTGCCATTCATCCTCTGGTACCTCTTCAAGAGGTGGTTTCACACACTCTAAGTGGTACACAGCTGAGCAAGTCTCACAGCAAAGCAAATCCCCCAGTTTGTGACAAACTCTACAATGGTCATCATATTGTATCACACCTTCTGACATTAATTCCTCACGTGCAATGTTTGTTGTAAGAAACTGATCCACTAAAAACTGCAGAACTTTGATTTTATTCTCAACTGGTCCATAAGGATAGTCTTCTGCCTCTTGAAAAGGAAGAACATGATGATATTCCTTGTCACTCTCACAATATACCCGCAGGACCTCAGGCCACGTCATCCCATCTATGAAGTACAATGTGGAATTCACACTATCTTTGAGGTCAGCAGGTCCAAAGGTAGTATTTGAAGTGTCTTCTTCACGTAAAACAGCTTTTAAAAGCACTATATGCATTTCTGCCATAAGTGTACACTGCTCCTGACTTACCAGAGCAGCACAGAAGTCTTCAAAACGAAAAGGGGACAAGCGTAAAACACTGCCAAAGTTCCGCAGTACCTCATAGATGGCAATAACATTCATTATTTGCTCATTAGGCACCATTAAGTCCTCTGAGGATTTAGGCAAGTCAAGGGGAGGGATATCCTTTTCTTCCAATATTGGAGAACGCGGACGATGTACTCTTTGTCTCCTCCTCCCTATAAACAAAAGGAACACGTAAGGTTTCATGAATGAAAAAATAGTTAAATCCCCCATTTCAAATTTAACTTTCACTTCTTATGATCCAGGTAGAATTCTACTGCCCAAGTTCCACCAGTCCCAAGCTTCCAAAAGGTCATAGACTGTGCTTATTTCAAATTCTATTTGAGACGAAGTTACTTCTGGAAATTATTTGTGAAAACCAGACAGAGAAGAATGAAATTGCTATTTAAAAATAAGGTAATAGATACAGTTTTTAAAATCAGTATGTTTATTTCATCATTATATTTCTATATATTCCAAATAAAGTATCTTACCTGAAGCAACTAATATAATATTTAATATCCTAACCCAGTTCTTAACATTCTTTTCTAAAAAGAAAGGAGGTTAAAAAATGGAAATGAAAGTGACAAATGCCTGGTGAATATTATTTTTTTTGGCCATTTTGCAAAAATCAGAATATTTACATTTTTCACTATCAAATCTGGGATAATGGAACATTCTTCCCTTTTATACTACCTGCTTTACGTATCACCTGCAAAAGTTGTTACTGTGGTTGGTTCAACAATCTAAATTAATAATCGCTTGAAAAATAACTGCTTCTGTAATTAAACCTATAATAATTTTAAACTTCAACATATAGTACAAGTATGAAAAAGCTGTAAATGTTATGGGGGAAATTCACAGAATTCTATTTCTTTACTATTATTTGTGTTGCATATTAGGACAATTACTGACAAAAGCAAAGTATGTGATGTTCATGATGACAAGATTTTCCAAATTATTCTACATTCTAGCATAATTGTGCATTCTTCTTCATTTAAAGGAACAATGATCTTAACTGTGCATTAATTATTCTGAATTCAAAAATGTTTGAGAAGATTGCTCTGGTGAATGGGGATGAGGGTAGGAGAAGCAGTTTAACTGCAAATGGTTCCCAGCACAAACAGACAGACATAATTATTCTCATCCTTTCTCATTCTGTGCAAAAGATTTAACTGCTTAGCAAACCACTTTTTCCCTCCACAGATCTACAGCAACTGCTGAAGCCTGTTGTTTTACCTTGGTAGCAATCCTAAACCATAAATATGCAATTTTCACAAGAATCCAAAAAATACATCCCTAATTAACCCCTGTGTACAACAATCTCACTCCAACTTCAAAGCACCAAAGTTTTGCCTTTAACAATATCCACTGCAATAGATACCAAAAAATTGCAATAGCTTCTCACGTGTTACACACATGAAATAACTGTTAAAATATTCTTAAACCAACTGATTCTGTAATTTGCAGCTCTTCGTGAATTTTGTGCCTGTATTTTAGAACGGTAGCTTTAAATTATTGCTTAGACGCTGAGCAATTCTACCCTTAAATAAAAGTACAGTGCCACGACACCACACTAATTGCACAATGGATTCCAGATTAAGGATGCCCTGTCTGCAGTCTTATTGTCACCTCTAAAATTTCAGCCTCAAGATGAAAAAGTCTACAGCAAATTCTTATCTTATTTATATATTAATAGAAGGAAACAATGCATAAAGACATTATGCCAATTAGAATTCCTTAATTTGGGGACTTTTATAATGAAGTTAAACTGTTACTAAAATGTCACTTTTTCCAATGTCAGAGTTTTCATTTAGAGCTGGCACACAAGTCCACTGATCCATCAATTGACCATCCATTATCTGACTACAGTAAAATATTTCACAAAACTAACAGTGCCTCTGTATATGTGGCTGCTAACTTTTTAATTTCATTACACTGTCATTTCTTAGCAAATCAAGGGTGGGAATTGACAGTGTTCCACCATATCCTGCAATAATCTATGTCCAAAGGCGGCATCGGCTGCAGAGAAGGAATTAAGTTTGTAGTGTCTGACAAAGGTTGAGATTACAGACCATGTTGCCATCTTGCATACTCCTTTCCACTAAGGCTTGATGATCAAAGGTTGCAGTAGTGGCTGCACTTCTCATTGAGTAGACTATGAGCCCTACTGAAACCAGAATGTTCCTTGCCCCTCACGCATGGGAGATGGCACTGTTGAATGGCATAGCTGATGGCTGATCTGAACATAATCTTCCCTTGTTTGCAGCTGTTAACGAAGTGCAAGTCCATCTTTCTGATGGATTCTGTACATTGGGGGTAGATACTGAGGGCCCTCTGGAGGTCTGAGAAGTGCTACTCTCTCTCCTTGGGGTGGCTAGAAAGTGGGCAGAAGAAAGGGAGGTGAATCTCCTGGTTCTTGTGGAAGGTTGAGTTCACCTGGGTGATAAAGGTGGGATCTGGCCTGAGCACCACCTTGTCCTTGTGGAAGACATGTAGGCCTTTTCTGGCTGACATGGCTCCCAGTTTCAACACCCTTCTAGCTGAAATCACTACCATGAGGAAGGGGGCTTTTGTGCACAGCCATTTTAGGGGGAACCTCCCTTAAGAACTTGAAAGGATTAGGGAGAGCCGAAAGAACTATATAGAGTCTCCGTGAACATCACCTGTAGACCACAGCAGGCATGATCTGAGCAACCTATTGGAGAAAGTAATTATGAGGATGTCTAGTTAAGGGACATTAGCTACATAAGGTAGGATTGTAACCATAGCTGCTACCTGGCAAGGAAGGGTGGACATTTGTAGCTTTTGATGAACACCCTCTGAAGGAGGGCCAACTGATGGCCCAGGCCAGGGTCGAGGGGGTTGACGTGCTTGCATTGGCACCACTTTGAGAAAGTTCTTTCCCATATAGTATTGTAGATGCATCTTGTGGAGGCCCTCCTAGAAGCTATGATAGTCTTTGCAAGCTCTGAGTAGCAGCCAAGGTTCAAGACTACATTTCTTTCAAGAGCCACATGGTCAGATGGAGCCACTCTGGATCCAGATGCCAAATCAGCCCTTGCTGCAATATGTCTGGGCTCATGAAAATCTCCCAGGGGGCCTGAACTGAGAGTTCCATCAAGGATGGAAACCATGGCTTGCCAAGCCAATATGGAGCGACAAAGATCAACTCCATCTCCTCCTGACATATCTTCCATAGAACTTTGGATCACTGGGAGGGGTGGAAGGATGTATAGTAAACCCTTTGGCCACAGAGAGGTTAGAGCATCCACTCATTCTGACTCAGGGAGATGGATCTGGAGAAAAAACGTGGTACCTGATGAGGCAAACAGATCCATTTCCAACATTCCGAACTGCTTCTCTGCCCAGAAAAGGGATGAATTGGGCCTCTGCATGTAGGGGATAACCTGGAGCCCCCCCCCCCCGCCCGAAAAATTATCTGTCCTGATGAACACATGTCGGTCCCTAATGTCTGCCCAGAAGGAGAAATCCAAGGTGAGTTCTTGAGTTCCAAGGTGTTAATGTCCATCATCTTTTCCTCTGATGTCCATATGCCTTGGGCTGGATGGCTAAGCAGTGATGTTGCTCAACCAGAAAAACTTGTGGTATAAAAAGTTGCAGGGTGTGGTCTGAGATATAGAATTGGTCCTGTCTCAGTTGCAGGGGCCAGCCCACCAGACCATGTTCTGTCTCAGAAACAGTTTTAGGTTTGGAGTTAAGTTACTCCTCCACAGAATCTCAAGTTGATGGAGAAACCACTGAAGCGGTCTGGTAGGTAATCACACCAATGAAACTGTCCCTATGCAGGAGATTATTCAGCCCTGGAGGCTTGCCAGGAACATCAGCTGGGTAATCTTGGCTTTCATCAGATCTTTTGGTCGAGCTCAAAATCCCCGGGGGGAGGGGGCTTGTCTGCCAGAGGGAAGCATATTCTGGCATGTGCTGTATCCCCTGTGATGAGGTAAATCTCCTTTTTTCCTTGTTTAAAGTGAACCCTTGGATTTCCAGGAGCTGAATGGTTCTGAGGGTGTCCCTGATCGCTGGCTCCAAAGTGGGAGAACAGATGAGGATGTCATCAGATAAGGATGGATTTGAATTCCTTGCTAGAAGATCAGGTCCACTAGAGCTACAAGGACCTTGGATAACTGGGGCTTCAGGGGTTTGAGCACTGGCCCTCCTTTGATCTGGCCTAATCCAGGATAAGGCGTGATGAGAACAAGAGGAATGAGAGAGAAAGGATCTCCTATCATCTTTCCACAGACTCTTGGGCATGGCTCTCTTATTATCTCTGGTTTCCACCAGGATCTTGCTGAGAGCCACTGAACAGCCTTCCACCTTGAAGTGGGTAGGCTATTACTGTGAACTTTGAATGGGGATCCACTTGCCATGTGCAAAGCCACAGCTATGGAGCAGGATACAAAGGTCACTGCGTGGAGGAAGGCATCCGCTAAGAAGGTGACCACCTTGTGAATGTGGCTGGTACCCTCTATTGTCCTTTGGTTGTTGCTTGGAGTGAGCTGGACCAGCTTCAGGGCCCACACAATGGCTGCTCTAGAGATTAAGGCAGAGTTAGCTGGTGCCGTGATGGTCATTGCCATGGCCTTATGGGATTTCTGCAGCACATAGTCTGCTTTTCTATCCAGTTCATTCCTTATGGATTATGAATTGTAGCACTACTGTTAGAGCATCTACTAGGGCAGTGATGGTGAACCTTTTAGAGACCGAGTGCCCAAACTGCAACCCAAAACCCACTCATTTATCACAAAGTGCCAACATGGCAATTTAACCTGAATACTGAGGTTTTAGTTTAGAAAAAACAACTCATACATTAACATAAGATGATCCAAACAAAGGAAGGAAAGCAATCCCAAATGTTTTCATTTACTTAAAATTATTTGGCAGAGAATTCCACACTTTAATGACGGTCTGGGCCTGGCTGGGGCGATGGCACGCGTGCCCACTGAGAGGGCTCTGAGAGCCGCCTCTGGCACGCATGCCATATGTTCGCCACCTAGGGGAACATATAAGAATTCCATAGCTTGAGGAACCAAGAAATAAATCTTTCGGTAACATTTGGGAACTGCCTGTTAGATATAGCTTGGCCCACTCTCCCCTCATCAGCCTTTTGAAAAAAACGGGAAAGGGAAACTAACCTCTATGAGGAAGGAGCCCT